TTGAAAATCACCCAATAAGATTGCAGATTACTTGATATAACGGAGTACTACGTAGCTTATTATGATATCCGTTATATTGTGACAAACTCGATTTAGCGGATCTCTCGATATAACGGAGAAAAGGGTCGGAACCGTAGTCTTCGTTATATCGAGTTTCACTGTGTATTTAACAGAAGGGGAAGAGAATTTAAATGACTGAAAAAATCCTAATGATATACCTGAAGGACTTAGAACTATGTACTCATAACAGATTTTACTCAATTAATGTGTAAGTGGAATAACCATCATGGCACAAAAATACTTTTGCCAAAAATGCTTACGATTTCCTTATAGTCAACTAGATTTATTAGAAAAGCATATTCCATCATGTCCAAGACTAAGTAAAGCACCACAATGATTAATTATAATCCTTCCTGAAGAGGGTAAGAATTATGTAAAACCAAATTATATCAAAAACATGTTAAAGAAACCTTATTTAATTACTATGGATCTTGAAGCAGAAGAAATCGAAGTAGAGAAAAAAGATAAAGAAGAAAAATAGCAGAGCAAAAAGCAGTTTCATATGGATATACTATTCATTGTTCAGATGGAGCAATGCAAAAACCAGTGATTAATCAAGAAGCAGAAAACATAATAAAAGATTTGATAGAAAACCTTCGAGAATATCTAGATGTTATTTTAGATAAGCTCTGCATTCCACTTCCATGTGAAAAAATGATGCCAAAATTATGGCAAAAATATCAAATGGCAAGTAAGTGTTGGATATGTGAAGAAAAATTACACAAATCAGGATACAATAAAATTCGAGTATTTGATCCAGAAACTAAAAAATATTTAGGTGCTTCACATAGAAAATGCCATGGGAAAAAGCCAATGATTCAAGGTAAGCTAGATGATGAACAAAAGAAAGTACATGATACATGTAAAAAATGTATGTATTGTAAAACTCAATTGATGGATGAAGGAAAAAATAAGGTACTAGATCATGATCATATTACAGGAAAATTTCGAGGACCAGCACATAATGAATGTAATCTAAAGTTACGGATTAACTCAGAAACAATAAAAATTCCTGTACTATTTTGTAATGGTAGTGGTTATGATTTTCATCATCTTATGCAAGAAATAGCAAAGGTAACAGATGAAAAAATTGTACCTATAGCAAATAATTCTGAGCAGTATATCACTTTCTCAGTCAGACAACTTCAATTTATAGATAGTATGAAATTTTCATTGCTGGGTTTAGCTAAGATGGCAGAAAATTTACGTGATGAAAAGAAGGGTCAAACAAAAACACCAGAACAACTAGCAAAATGTTTTTCTATTATGTCAAAATTCATCTCACCCCATTTACTATCACTGCTTACACATAAAGGGATCTTTCCATATCAATGGTTAAATAGAAAGAGAAGTTAAATGAAACAAAACTCCCACCTCATATAGATTTAATAGTGATTTAGATGGATTTAATTATTGCAAGCATGGATGTGAAAATAAAGAATGCAAACATGAAAAAATTTATACTATATCCCAAAAGGATTACGATTTTGCACAAACAGTTTGGCAAGAAACAGGATGCAAGACTTTTGGTGATTATCATGATATATATCTAAAGATTGATGTGATAATCTTAGCAGATGCATTTGAGGCATCTGAAAAGCATCATATGATGCCTTCAAGTTAGATCCAGCAAATTATTTAACTGCACCAGGTCTTGCATGGGATGCATGCTTTACAGAAACTTGCATTTTTTAAAAATGTCTTAATGAGATTTGCAGGATGTTGTGCTGATAACCATTGACATTTACAATCAGAAAATATTGCAAACTTCTCGTTGTGATGTCACCAACAAATTGCTAAATTTCTATTAGTATCCTGGCGATCTTGTCACGAGATTCTGCTAGATTGTTCAA